AGGGCGTTCCGGCGGCGGCGGCGCGCCGGGGCGACGCCGGCGTCGGCGTGGGCGACCGGGGCGACGCCGGCGGCGGCGCCGGCGGCGCGCAGGCCTCGCAGCGGCGCTCGTGCGCGGTCCGCGGCGACGTCTCGCGCGCGGCCGCGTCGTTGCGCCGGTCGCGCAAGGGGCTCCGGGGCGGCCGCTGCGCCGCCTTGGCGCGCGTCGCTCGCGCGTTCTCGACGTTGGCCGCGTGCGCGGCGCGCTCCCGGCGGTCGAGCTCCGCGACGCGCTCCGCCTCTTCGAGCGACCGCGCGACGTCGCGCCGCTGGCGCGTGAGCGCGGCCTCGCGCTGCTTGAGCGTCGCCTCGCGGCCCGCGAGCTCGCGCTCGCGGCGCTCCAGCGCGCCGCGGCGCCGCGTCCAGGCGTCGGCGAGGTCGCGCTCGCGCCGCGACAGCTCGGCCTCCTTCGCGGCCGCGGCCCTTAAACTCGCGTCCGCGGCGCCGAGCCGCTCGCGCGCGGCGGTCTCCGCCTCGTCCGTGCGGTCCAGCGCCGCGCGCACGCGGAGCTGGCGCTCGCGGTCGCGCACGGCCGCCGCGCCCTCGAGCTCGCTCAGCGTCCGCGCGACCTCGGTCTTCAACTCGCGCTCGCGGCCCTCGAGGTCCGCGCGGAACGCCGCCTCGGCCTCGTCCCGCGCGGCGTCCGCGCGCCGCGACGCGTCGGCGACGGTCCGGCGCGCCGCCGCGACCTCGCGCTCCGCGTCCCGGCGCGCCAGCTCCGCCTCCGTCCGCGTGAGCTCCGCGTCGTGGAGCGTCTCGCGCAGCGCGGCGGCCGCCGCGCGCCGCGCCCACGCGCACCAGCGCCGCGACGCCGCCGCGCGCGCGCGCCGCGCGCCGCAGGCGCCGAGGATTCGCAGGCCGCGCGCGACGTCTCGGCGCCGCAGCTCCGCCGCGAGCTCCCGCCGCCGCTCGAGGAGCGACAGCGCGGACCAGCGCCGGAGAGCGCACGTCGCCGCGAACCGCGCGGACCGCGCGGCGACGGCGAAGACGCGTTGCAGCGCCGCGCGCACGGCGTCGACGGTGAGGCGCCGCGGCCTCTGCGCCGCCACCGGCCGCGCCGGCGGCTCGCGCAGGACGAGGCGCCGCTCGGCGCCCTGGCGCCGGCGGTGGAGCGCCGCCTCGAGCCGATCCTGCTGCCGCCGGTTGTGCGTGAGCGTCGAGTGGAGCGACGGGTTGGCCAGCGGCCGGCGCGACGCCATCGGTGGTGGCGCGCGGCGCGTGCTTTGGCAGGTCTGGGCCAACTTGGCGCGCGATCAGGTCGCCATCAGCCGACTCAAAAAACTCCACTGCACCATCTGTGCACCTCGCAGGTTGAAGCACAGCCGCCGCGCGCGCGCGCGTCGCTGACCACAACAACCGCGTCGCCGCGTCTCGTCGCGTCGCCGGGACGCTGCGCGGTGGTCGCGGCGTCGCAAACGGCGCCGATCCCGCAAAGAACGGGTCGAAAGGCTCTCCTATGGTGCGCCACGAGGAGCTGCCCCGGGCGGCGCGCCTGAAGCTCGACTTCCTCTGGCGCGCGTCGCAGGAGGCCATGGCGTCGCGGCCGCCGCAGCCGCGCGTCGCGCAGAAGCTCGTCGCGGACCTCCGCCGCGCCGCGGCGCGCGACGAGTTCCCGCTTCCGGGCGAGCTCCTCCGCGCGATCTGCCCGGCCTGCTCCGTGCCGCGCCTCGCCGGCGTGACCTGCCGAACGCGCACGGTGCGCCGCACGCGGCGGTCGCCCGACGCGCTGCGCTGGGCGAGCCGCAAGCCCCTCAAGGCTCAGCTCGTGACGACGTGCCTCCTCTGCGGCGACGTCCGGCGCGCGCCCGCGGGCCACCGCGTCCCGGCGCCGAACAAGAAGCCCGCGGGACCCGTCACCGGCGACTTCGTCGCCATGCCCGCCGCCGCGCCGCCGGAGGCCGCCGCGCCCGCGCCGCGCCTCCTCCTCGACAGCAAGCCGCGGAAGCGGAAGAAGGGCGGCGACGGGGCCGGGCCCGCGGAGAAGAAGCGCGGGAGTAAGGACCGATGATGCGAGCGCTCTTCCGGACGCCATTTTTGCTTGGCCTCTCGGCGCCCGGGGCGGCGCGGAGGTCCACGTTGAATCAGACTTGAAGCAGGCATTGGAGACAAAGTCTGAGGCGTGCGTTCTCGTCGACGTGTCCTCTGCGCACCGACTTCGACACGATGGAGCAGCTCCTCGCCATCGCGCTCGTCGTCGGCGTCGTCGTCGCCGCGGCCTTGTTCTTCATGGGCGGCGGCAAGAAGAAGTTCCTCGACAAGAGCCGCCAGAAGCTCAAGCTCGGCAAGATCACCAAGGTGCGCGCCAGTGCCGCCCCGTTGCCCCGCCGCGCGCGCCGCGCGCGCCGCGCGCCGCAGCCGCCGGCGCCGCACCCACGCCCCCGCGCGCGCCGCAGATCACGCACGACACGACGAAATTCACCTTCGACCTGCCGTCGCCGTCGATGTCGCTCGGGCTGCCGCTCGGCAAGCACGTGAAGATCTTCGCGCCGAACATGACGGGCGTCGAGGCGGGCAAGTGGTCCGCGCGCCCGCGTTTCGACGCCTCTTGTGACCGCGGCGACCCGTCCGCGCTTTAGGAACGGCCGCGACGACCCCGAGGCGGACGTCGACGAGATCCAGCGGTCGTACACGCCGACGTCGTCCGAGGAGGACACGGGCCGCGTGGACCTCGTGCTCAAGGTCTACAAGGGCGGCGTGGTCGACCGCTTCCCCGACGGCGGCAAGATGTCGCAGTACTTTGGGGGGCTCAAGGTCGGCGACGAGGTCGCCATCTCGGGGCCCGTCGGCATGACCGAGTACCTCGGCGGCGGCAAGTGGCTCCACGGGCGACGAGAGATCAGCGCCTCCGCCGTGGGCATGATGGCCGGCGGCACGGGCATCACGCCCATGTACCAGATCCTCCAGGTCGCGCTCAAGGACCCGAAGGACAAGACGACGTTCAGCCTCTTGTTCGCGAACCAGACGCCCGACGACATCCTCATCAAGGCCGAGCTCGACGCGCTGGCCAAGAAGTACCCGGCGCGCTTCTCCGTCCACTACACCGTCGACCGCGCGCCCAAGGGCTGGGCCGGCTCCACGGGCTTCATCTCCGCGGAGATGATCGAGGCGCACCTCCCCGCCGCGTCGCCCAAGACCCTCGTCGTCATGTGCGGCCCGCCGCCCATGATCAAGTTCGCCTGCAAGCAGAACCTCGACAAGCTCGGCTACGACAAGAAGCTCCAGCTCGCCTTCTAGAGAGGCCGCGCGGCGCCCGGCCGCCGCGCGGCGCGCGCGTCCCGCCTCCTTCGCTCCGCCTCTTCGCACCCTCGCGCGCGCGGCGTCTAACCGCAAAGTCCCACGTCGCTCGCACCCGCGCGTCCCCACGTCGCTGCTGCTCGGTGCGAGGGCAGCGTAGTTCGTTGACGCCACACGTCCCCACGGATCGCTGCGCGTCAACGTATTTCGTTGACGTCACGCGGCCGGCCGCATCCCGGAGGAAGCATCGATCGCAGTGCGGGGTGGTGAGGCCGCCCGAGCGGGCAGCCCGGCCGGCGCCATGTTCTCCGCGTCGAAGCGGCTGAGCAAGGACAAGCTCAACGGCCCGGAGGGCGTGCCGCTCGTGGGCACCTACGACCTGACGCCGCTGGCGGCGCTGCCGCCGCAGGAGTACTTATTGCAGGCGTCGTTGCTCTACAGCGACGCGCTCAACGGGCTGCACACGCTGCGGCCGCCGCTGCTGAGCCGGCGCACGCGCCGCGCCTACATCGCCGTGCGCGCCATGGCCTTCGTGACGTCGACGGCGCTCTGGGCGCTGCTCGCGGTGGGCTTCTTCGAGACGCCCTGGTGGTGCCACGACAACGACCTGTGCCGGTCGCCCGAGTACCCGACGTTCGTGGACGGGCGCCTGTTTTTAAGCGTCCGGCGGGGCGTGCTCGTGGAGACCGTGTGCCTCTGCGTGCTCGCGGCGTCCTACTCGCTCGAGCGCGTCTACCTCGGCAAGCAGTTCTGGAGCGGGCCGCGGCAGCTCGTGCTGCCGCTCTGGGTGAAGAACGCGGCGCTGTTCGTGTACGCCCTGGATCTGCTCATGGCGCTGGTGTCCAAGGGCTTCCGCTTCGCGCCCTACTGCCGCATCGCGATCTTCATCGCGTCGTACGGCGGCATGTGGAACATGCTCGTCGTCATCGCGCGGGTCCTGCCGGACTGCGTCGACGCGGGGCTCTTCCTCATCGCCTACATTCTCTTCAGCGTCTGGATTGCGACGTCGACCTTCGACAAGGGGCCCGAGCACCAGTCGCCGTACATGCGCGACTTCAAGGAGACGCTCTGGACGCTCATGGTGCTCCTGAGCAACAACGACTACCCGTCGTCGATGATGCCCGCCTACGACATCAACCGCATGACCTTTCTGTTCTTCGCGCTCTACCTGCTCCTGGGCATGTTCGTGCTCATGAACCTCACGTTCGCCGTGTTGTACACGGCGTTCATGAAGAAGCACCTCTCGGCGTCCAAGCAGGCGCGGCGGAACACGGAGCAGTCCCTGCGGGACTGCTTCAAGGTCTTCGACCGCAAGGGCACGGGGCGCATCAAGCTGCGGGTCATCCGCGCGTTTCTGGCGCACGAGTACGGCGGCGCGATCCGCAACTTCGACAAGGATCTGGCGCTCCACATCGCGGACCTGACGGGCCGGCGGCCCTACGAGACGCCGGGGGCGGCATTGTTCGGCACGCCCGTGCACCAGCGCCACATGTCCGACGAGTCCGACATCAACGTGCGCAACTTCGTGCGCATCATGGCCGCGGTCGGCGAGCGGATCCGCGTCGCGAAGCGCCGCACGGAGGTCCAGCGCTTCTTCCCGGGCGTCGCGTCGACGAAGACCTTCACGAGCCTCGTGACGTTTTTGGAGGAGTCGCACGTGGGCCGCTTCAACGCCTTCGAGCTTTTCATAGACGGCATCCTCGTCGCGAACCTCGTCACGCTCGTGCTGTCGACGAAGTACATCCGCTGCGAGGAGGAGGACTCGCCCCAGGACTGCCCCGTCGTGGGCCTCGATCTGTCCTTCACTTTAATCTTCCTCATCGAGATGCTGCTGAAGGTCGCGGCCAAGGGCTGGTACCGCTACTGGATCGGCGCGCACAACAAGCTCGACTGCGTCATCACGGTGCTGTCGTGCTTCGCGACGGTGATCTACTTCGGCTGGACCGACGCGCTGCGCAAGTTCTTCAAGCTGATCATCATTCTACGGCAGCTGAGGTTGGTGCGCTTGTTGCGCTACACGGTGCGGTTCCGCGTGCTGACGGACACGTTCCGCGCGATGGCGCCGACGGCCGTCGCGCTGCTCGGCGTCTTGTTCTCCTACTACTACGTCTTCGGCAGCGCGGGGACGCAGATTTTAGGGGGCTACATCTGCACGGCCAAGGTCGTCGCGTCCGTGGGCAACTCGGAGGAGCTGGGGGTCGCGTACACGGGGCGGAACATCACGTGCATCCACCACAAGGAGTGGGACCCCGTCGTCGACGACTACGCGGCCGCGGGCTACTTCGCGAACAACTTCAACGACCTGCTGGGGTCCTTCGTCGTCCTCTTCGAGCTCATGGTCACGAACGACTGGCAGACCATCGTCGCGGGCTTCGTCTCCGCGACGGGCACGCGGTGGGTCCGCGCGTTCTTCATCGTCAACTACGCGTGCCTCGTCGTGCTCCTGGCGAACCTCGTCGTCGCCATGATCATCAAGACCTACATCGAGGAGTGGGAGCAGTTCGAGAAGCGCCGCGAGCAGGAGCGGCTCGCCGCGCAGCCGCCCGAGGACTTCATCGAGCCGCCGAACCAGGCGGGCCACCACAGCCACGACGAGTACACCGACGACGACGCCGACTCGTCCTTTTCGATCTAACGGTGGGGGTCACCAACATGTCATCTTCGAAAAATAGGGAGGTTAGTGAATTGGTCATAAAAAGAGAAAAGGCCCGCGCCCCCGGCCCGCGTCTGTCAATTGGGACTGTCAATTGGACGGACGCGCGGCCGGAGTCGGGACACGCGTCTCGGGGTATGACGCTGCAGGGCAGAGCCCTCGCGTTTTGGAAGCGTTGCGCAGGGGCGGGGCGGGGAGGGGGGGGGGGGGGCGACCGGGGTCCC